AATAGTCTAGAATTTAAGCATCCCAGGAATTCAAATTGGCTTTTGCTGAAACTGAACTGAACTGATGAGGTCATTTTTGCTGAGCTTATATATAAGGTCATTTTTAAACACTCTGACAGTGATTTTCAAAGAGTGGTCCCCTGGCTACCCCAGCATCCCCCGGGAGCTTGCAAATTCCCGTGCCCCAGGCCGCACCTTCTGAATCCGCACTGGGCTGAGGGGAGATACAGCAATCTGCTCGCAAGCCCTCCAGGAGATGCTGGGGTAGGCTCGAGTCTGAGAGCCACTGGCTCAGAGCGGGTGGGGTTGGAGAGAGGGGAGCTGCCCGCCAAGCCCAAGCCTTAGTATAGCCCAGTCGGGTGGCCATGGAGGATGAAACTCGCGCGACTCGGTTCTCAGGCCAGCACGGACCGAGAGAACAGAGATGGAAAAACAGAGAATGATGAGAAGAATCACCTCCTGCCAGTCGACACGCTCGGGGTGCTATGGAACTGAACCCCAGGCCTCCCAATCAAAAGCAAATCCTGCCTTCAACATGTCTTTGTCATCTTGGGAAAGTGACTTAACTCCTCTGAGCCTCAGGTTTCTCATCTATAAGGAGAGGTGGAGGTAGGAATAAAAGGAGATTTTAGCTAATCATTATTGAGCCCTTAGAAAGGCCATTAATTCCATTGTCTCATTTAATCCATACAACAAACCTGCGATGTTGTTATTATTAGTAATATTGTTAGTATCCCCATTTAACAGGTGAAAAAACTAAGGCACAGAGAGGTTAGGTAACTTGCCCAAGGTCACACGGCTAGCCCCCCTTCTCAACCATTTGCTGCAATTTAGAAACTGTAAACCTGAATACCAAGGATTGTGGTAGGAAAACAAGTTTGTACAGAGAAAGGCAGGGCCAAGATCAAAGGACCCAGCAGGCTGGGCATTTTGACTCTTGGTTGCCAGCCTGTCCCTGGAGGCTGAGGGGCCACCAGGCTGACAGAGCCAGGACACTGTCTGATTTCTCATCCTTTGAGATGGCAGGGAAAGGGGCACTGAAAATAGCTCAGAGGCCAGAAGAGGAAATTGGTTCCTGACACATGTTGACAGGGTTCAATACGCAGACATCTTGTTTTCATGAAGTGGCAGTGACCCTGTTTGCTTAAAAAAGGGCTGGCTACTGGGTGTAACGAGGCCACGAGCCAGGGGTGCTGGGGACACGATGAGGGAAGAGACAGTCGTCTGAGAGGCACTGGACAGAGCGCTTTCAGACGGGTGAAATGTTAGGACCAAGCTCTATGAGCACGAATCTCTCTTCCTTCCTCCATGCTGCCGCCAGCTTTGTCTCCCTACAGTGCAAACATGAGCACAGCATCCTAGCCTCGAGAACAAGTAATTGCCCCCCATCACCCCCAGAGTGAAGTCCCAACCCGTAACCTGGGTGCAAAGCCACCCATGCTCACCCCTAAACTGGCTTTCTCCTTTTTTTCTTTTGAAAGTTATGCTTTTGTGTGTGTGTGTGTGTGTGTGTGAGGAAGATTGGCCCTGAGCTAACACCTGTTGCCAATCTTCCTCTTTTTTTTTCTCCCCAAAGCCCCGGTACATAGTTGTATATCCTAGTTGTACGATTTTTTAGTTCTTCATGGGACGCCACCTCAGCATGGCTTGATGAGCAGTGCTAAGTCCACGCCCAGGATCCGAACCTGTGAACCCCGGGGCTGCCAAAGCAGAGCATGTGAATGTAACCACTACACCACGGGGCTGGCCCCTAACCTGGCTTTCTGACTTCACATCCCTCTCATTCTGTGGGTCACGAGTACCACCGATGCTCCCCAGACACATCCCAGTGCACTGGTATCCCTCTCTCTTCCCCCACTTCCACCACCTGGAAATTTGGAGTGGCGAGCCCCACTGATGTATTATGGTGATGCCCAGCTAGGTGTGGTGGCTCGACAGTAAGTCCTTCTGTGTGGGAGGAAAAGGGCTGGAAATTTCATTCAGTGAGATTTAGAAAGCAGACAGACAGAAAACTCACTTGGTACTCACACAGCCTTTGCCAAATGGTTTACACTTCCCGGCTTTGCTAAAGAGATGGTGAAAACACACGAATGCAAGTCATCACTGACTTTGGGTTTAGATCCTGTGATGAATTCCAGGCGAGCTGGGACTCAGTCATGTGCAGAGGAACGGGGTTTTCATTTTGGGGAAGGGCTCACCCCATACGTTCTGTGGGCATCACTGAAACCACACATCTAGCGTGTTCTAAGGAACGTCGTCAGGCAGTCAGGGTCAATTGACCAAACACATTCCTTACCTGGGCATCCATTCAACAACTGCTGTGCTTAGGGACCAGCATCAGTACATGGACATTCTTTGTCATTTGGTTTTCTTTCCCTAATTTTCATCATTTTAATGTCTATTTCCTCCCTATATACAAGAGTATACTAAGTCTGTAATTAAAGTATATCAATTAAGGACACTAAGTGTTTAGGCTTTTAACATATGCCTACTCATCTTTACATGGCAGAACAATAAATATTTCTGTTTTGGCTGACATAGAACTGGAGCTCAGTAAGAGGGAGTTCTCATCTAGGGCCGGGGTCAGCAGGCATTTGCTGTCGAGAGCCAGGTGGTAAATATTTTAGGTATTGTGGGCCAAGGGCTGAAATCAGTGATATCATGTAGGTACTTTTTGTAACAAGAGAGAAAACAGATTTCCACAAATTTTTGGTTTTTGAAATTCAAAATAAAATAGTAGAATTCAGCACAGGTTCTCGTAATACAGCTTGTGTAGGTCGGCTCAGGCTGCAATAACAATCCCACAGACGGGGCAGCCTCAAGAACAGACGCCTAGTCTCTCACAGCTCTGGAGGCTGGAAGTCCAAGATGAGGGTGCTGGCAGGGTTGGTTTCGGGTGAGGCCCCTCCTCTTGGCGTGTAGACGGCCGCCTCCCTGTGTCCTCACGCAGCCTCTCCTCTGTGCACACACAGTGGGAGGGAGGGCGAGAAAGAGACAGAGACAGAGAGAGAGCGAGAGATCTCAAGTCTCTCTTCTTCTTTTAAGGACATGGACCCTATAGGATCAGGGCCCCATTCTGGGGCCTCGTTTAACCTTAACTACCCCCTTAAAGGCCCTATTTCCAGATACAGTCATGTTGGGGGTTAGGGCTTCAACATATCAATTGGGGGGCCGGGAAGGGGCCACAATTCAGTCCATAACTCAGGTCTACTAATGAGAAAAATGGAATACTTTTGTGGGAGAAAACATGTCACTTAATTGGACTTCAACTGTGAAATCCGTTCTTGGGTTTTACAATCCTGCTGGGTCCTCAAGAAAGGTGGCGGCCGGGTTTGGCCACAGCCCTGGTTTGCTGACACCTGATTGGAGGGCCACAGTGGATAGGAGAAAGGACCTTGGCTTTGGGGCCAGGCTTGGCCCATGTTCAAATCCCAGCTTTGCCTCCTGTGAGCTGTGCACTACTGCGCCATCACTGGATCTCTCTGAATCTCGGTTTTGCCGTGTCTGGGGGGAAATAACGATTTCCCTAAAAGGGAGATCACTCCAGAAGAGGAAATAACTCTCTAGGGTTTCTGTAAGGGGTATTAGTAATGAGTGCAGAATCCTGAGACAGTGCTGCCCTAAGGGAATGATAGCCATTGTCATTGTCGTCATCATCACCATCATCATCATCAGAGTTTTGAGGAGAGGAGGTAACTCCAGAATGACTCAAGAGAGTTTGTGGGTTGAGTCTGTACCTTGGGTTGGATGTGATGAGAATGTCACTTTACCTCTGCTTTTCCTCCCAACGTAATCGTGATAGAAATAGCAGACAAATCCCAGCTGAGGGACATTGGACACAATACTTGGCCAGTCCTCCTCAGAACTGTCAAGGTCATCAAAAACAAGGAAAGTGTGAGAAATTGTCACAGCCAGGAGGAGCCTAAGGGGACAGGATGACTAAATGCGATGTGGTGTCCTGGATGGGGTTCTAGAACAGAAAAAGGACATTAGGTAAAATCTGAGACCATCTGAATAAAGTTTGGATGTTAGTCAATAATAACTATCAATGTTGTTAATTAATTGTGACAAATGTTCCAGAGTAATATAAGAAGTTGAGGAGAGAGGAAACTGGGTGTGGGGTATATGGGAACCCTGTACTATCTTGACAATCTTTCTGTAAATCTAAAATTTAAAATTTATTACAAAACAATCACACGTGGGTAAAAATCCATACACGGTGCAAGGCGGACGACGGGTTTTCATGTAACAAGGATGAAAGGCTGATTGACACAGTTTCAGATTCCACGGTAACTAACTTTTGAGAAACTACCGCTTGTCGCACTTTGATGTATCGAGGAAGGATAACCACGGTTGTCTGGAAAGGCTATTAAAACACTCCTCCCTTCCTTGTCCAACTTCCCATCAGTGTGAGGCCAGGTCTTCTTCATACATTTCAAAGCAAACAATACAATGCAGAAGACGACAGCAAAGCAGCTCCGAGGTCCCGCCATCCTCTGTCAAGCCGGTCGTTACAGAGACGTGCAAAAGTGTAGAACGGTGCCACGCTTCTCACGAAGCTTTTCTGTTTTGGAAGATATAGTTCTTTTTGATAACAAATATTTATCTTAACATGTTATTAGTTTATTATTGTTATTTTTAAGTGAATTCATAAATATTTAGATTTTTTTCTCGGTTTTAATTTCTCTTATGGTAGATATCAATAGCTATTATCCATATGAATAAAGACTCATTAGGCTCTTAATTTTTAATAGTATAAATGGTGCCGAGACCAAAAAGCTAGCGAATCACTGTACTAAATAAGTATTTTATTCCCCACGACGACCTATTAGATGGGCATTATTATTATCTCACTTTGCAGATGAGAAAACTGAGGAACAGAGAGGGGTAGTAACTTGCTCGAGGTCACCCAGGAAGCACAGAGGCTGGAGTCGGGACTCGAACCTGTGTCCTATGCTTTCCTGACTGCTGTATCCTCGGGGTTCTCCCCACCCCTCCAGGTCTGCGAGTTCTGCAAGGGAGCGGCCCCTGCCGACAGCCCCGTGGTCTACTCGGACAGGGCGGGCTACGACAAGCAGTGGCATCCTGCCTGCTTTGTGTGCGTCAAGTGTGCCGAGCCGCTGGTGGACCTCATCTACTTCTGGAAGGACAATGCTCCCTGGTGTGGCCGCCATTACTGTGAGAGCATGCGGCCCCGCTGCTCCGGCTGTGATGAGGTAAGAGCCGATGGGCTGCACGGGGTGGGTGGGCTGCACGGGGTAGGTGGGCAGCCCCGCAGCAGGGGGAGAGGATCCAGGGGCCAAGGCGAGTGTGGCTTCGTTGATGAGGTGATCCACAGATAGGAAAACCGAGGCTCAGGGCTTGCTTCATGCTCCCAGCCTCTGTTTTCACATCCGCAAAATGAGGCGCGTATTAGTTCCCACTCATGGGGTTGTTGGGACGAATCAGACACAGAGGCCCTGTGAGTCGTACCCTGGGTGCAATGCCTGGCACTTAGTAAGGACTCAGGAGAACTTACCGGGGCGGGGAGTGGGTGGGGGCACTAGGAAGCAGGTTGCCCACGTTCAGACCTTGCCCTGTGTCTATCAGTCATGAGGTTACCTAACGCCTGGGCCTCAGTTTTGTCAGTTACCAAATGGGAAAGTTAACAGTGTCCATCCCATGGAGTTGCTCCGAGGATAGATGAGAGAGTGCGTGAAAATGCTTGGCACTGGGCCTGCCCGAGTGACTAATAAATGGGAGCTGCTGTGAGTCTGATGATCATGTAATATGATGTAATAATCTAACATCACTGTACACGTTACAATACAATAGTTAGGGATGCTGTGAAAGAGGTCAACTCTCCACCATGGGTTTAGACTAGAGGAACTCTAAGGTGTGTTAATAATGACAATAATAATGAGGATAGTAACTACTTTCTGCATGCCTTTCGTGACAGAAAACTCGCTACCTTCGTCTTTGGACCATTTGAGGGTTAGAAATGTCTTCTTGGCATTGAGCCAGAATCTGCCTCTGTCACCCTTCCACATGTTGGCCTCCATGTGAAGTTCAGGCCTTTCAGTCCTCTTACCTAATAACTGATCACGCGATATTAAGAAAGAAAAGGGCTGTCAGCAGGCCCGCCCCCTCACCTCCGTTTTGTGAGGACCGCAGTGTACTCACAGTAATGACACGCCATCCTTTATTAGGCGCTTACGACGGGTCAGTAATATGCTACATACCTGTTGTATGATGTGCCATTTGTATTTCACAACAGTCCTTGAGGGAGAGACACTCATGATCTCCATTTTACATCCGAGAAAAGTGCGGCTCAGAGAGGTCAGTGGTGATCATATAGCATTGACTTTGTCTCAGTCACTATTCTAAGTACTTCCTAGGTAGTAACACATGTAGCACTCATAAAACCCGATGGAGTGGGTGGTATTTATATGCCCATTCTACAGATATGGAAACTGAGGCACAAAGCGATTAAACAAAGTCATGCAACTGGTAAGTATTTAAGTGAAAACTCATAGCTGGTTCCTGTTTGATCCCCAAAGCAGAAGGCACATTTAGCCACTGTGCTATTCTTTTCTTTCTGAGCCTCAGGGGTTCCTTACCATATGTATAACCCAGAGGGTCACTTTATTCAATGCCTAAGTGATCCTGTGGGCTCTCGCTCTGGAATACTGGCCATTGGCCACTTAGCCATCATTGGGCTGTCTTCAGCGGGGTATGTGATTCTTTCTCAAAACACAGCTGGGCTCTGGGTTTGGCCCAAAGAGTCTCACAGATGCTAGATAAGGACGGCTGCCTATGGTGGAGGATTCCTTTTACCCATCCAAGAAGCTAAGTGCAACCATGACCTTCACCAAATGCTGTGCTTACTGCCTAGGTTGTTTGTCCAATTTCTCCACTGAAGCATTTAAAGGTGAAAACAAGAATGGGGCGGGGCGGGGGTGGGGGGTGATGCACCACTATCCTTCAGCTTGTCCTCGACGCACTGTCTCCACGAGGGACAGAACCTGAGTTGTGCATTTCTTCTGTTCCCCTCCCCAGATAATATTCTCAGCAGACTACCAGCGCGTGGAAGACCTGGCCTGGCACCGAAAGCACTTCGTCTGCGAGGGCTGCGAGCAGCAACTGAGCGGCCGGGCGTACATCATCACCAAGGGCCAGCTTCTGTGCCCAACTTGCAGCAAGTCCAGACGCTCCTGAAGGGCTGCCGTCCACGGCCAGAATCCACAGGATCCCACCAAGAAGGAAAGCCCGGTGTGCTGAGGCCATCCTAAGGCTCTGATGTGACAGCCAGCAAGCAACAAAAACAGAGATTTCCCCGGGAATATACGTACACATATATTCTAGGCTGGGTGGTGGTGAATCCTTGAGGGTCAACAGTTTCAAAGCCAGAAATGTTCTGAGAAGTCTTAGGATGGAGTTATTTTGTTTTTGTTGTTGTTGTTTCCCAGCTACCAACTAAAGACACAATTGGCATCCTGCAAGGCATCTCTGGGAGGAGTTTCCCAGAATGCAATTGTGAGTGATCAAATCACATAGCTGTAGAATGTGCGTGCTTTTTTGTGAATGTGGGAGCTCCTCTGAGAGCAGGATGGGATCCCAGCGATCGTCTGTTGCCTCTTTCCAAATGGAATTTGAATTTTAAATAAAAACTTTTTTGGCATGATAAACATCAATAAAGGTTTTACAAAGTCCACAAATGCCCTGATCTAATTATTTATACCACAGCAGTGATTTCGTGGCATCCATTTAGCCCCATGACTGTGAATGCTGGCATAAGGCACTATAAATGCTAGTGTGCCTCTTCATCAATTGTGTCTCATCAGATTTCTTCGGGGAGTGTAGGTCCTGGGGGCGGAATCCCCATCCCCAGTTCCAGGTGCCCCCTGGTCGCTGATGGAAATGTGGGTGTGTTTCATGGTACCAGAAAGCAGCCTCCTGGGAACTGACGAGCTGCTGAAGGACTAGGGACCCGACTCAGCCTCCCCCAGAGCCCAGGCAGGTAATGAGTGAACCCTGCTGGGAGGGAGACCAGGTGGAGTGTTGGGGAGCAGCCAAACAGGGCCACCTACATTCAACCAATGGGTGCCACATGGGACAAGGTGACCAGTGTGGCAGACCTGAAGAAATATGGGATTTTTATGAGAAACTTCTCCATTTTTATATGTTGCCAACTGAACATTGAATGAGCCAAATAGAATAGGTCTTTGGGCCAGATTTTCCCTCTTTTTATGGCCTCTCTGAGCATTTGCAGTCCCCAAATTAGTTTCCTTTCCACAATTTCTAAGAAAAGACATCTCTTTTTCTACTGAGGATATAAAGGCGTAAAAGACATGAGTCCCAGGAGCTCAGAGCTCCATCACCAATGGCCTGCCTTCTTTCTTTAACTTCTCATCGGTTGCCAAGTTTCTTTAATTTCACCACCCAGGTTTTTTCCTCATCATCTCTTATCTACAATGCCCCATTCATGCACTTTGCAAGTTTGACCAAAGTTATTGCTATTTCCTCCCGTGATAGCTTTCTGCTTCCAGCTCCTCTCTCCAGCCAGCCTCAGTTTCCCTGTCACGTCCATCTTCTCAAAGAGAAGCTGTGGGTGTGTTGTCTTCCTCACCCACCCTCCATGGCTCCCCATTGTCTCTCAAGTTAAGAACCAAGTCCTCACTCTGACTCAGATCCTTCCAAAACGTGGCTTAATTGTCTTTCCGGCCTCAGAACCCTTTGTTTCTCTAGATTTCCATTTCTCTCTTTCTCCCAGACATTCGCAAACTCCCTTTGATCAAGCCCTTGTGCTTTTACTAATTCTGTGCCGGTTACGTGAAGACCAATGCCGTCTGTTGAAATTCTGTCCGTCCTCTAAGGTACTTCTCAAGCTTAACCTGACACCAATCTGCTGGTGAGTCTCCCCACCGCAAACTCACCCTTTGCACACACTGCTCAGATGCACTGCTCAGAAACACAGGTCTTACCGTGCATGCTCCTCTTCAGAACACTCAGGGCTCCCTGTAGCTCACACAGAAGAAAGCGGAAACTTCTGCGCTTTGCAATCAAGTCTCTTAATATTCCTGGCCCCAACTCACCTTGCTTCCTGCTCCCCTTTCAGCAGCCAGACAAATAGCTTGCAGGTCCCTGTATGTGCCCCATGCTTTCCCTACCTCTGCGCCATTGTGCAGGCTGTGCCCTTTGCCTGGAGTTCCCCACGGGGCTGCCATAGCTGAGTGGGGTTCTGTCATAGAATCAGAAGGATGGATGCTTTAAATTTTGCCATGTGAACTAGTACATGATTTTATCCGCCCCACGTCAGCAAGAAGAACAGCTGCCACACCCGTCACTCCGTTCTCTAGGAAGACTCCCCTGCGCTTCCTCCCCTCTGTGGTGCTGTGGGCTCGTCTGTGCTCCCACAACACCCCAGACTCCCAGTGGTCGCCACCCTGATTCTATGGTGCTATAGTGATTAGTTCATGAAAGCCGCCCCACGGACTTCTTGAGAGGACAGTCTCATTATCTTTGGTTCCCCATCCTAGTACAACGCCTAGCAACTGAACGAAAGAACAAACAGCCCGGGGCCCTGGGATGATTCACGGTTGCTAATGGCAGTGGGTTCCAAAACGGCCTAAATCAAGTATAAAACTTTCAGGCGGAGGCAGACGCCGTTGGCTGCCTACATGCTGCCATTCTCCACAACCTCCTCCTTCTTTCTGTGGGAACAGCCCGCTTCCCACTGTGTGGACTTGCTTTCCCAGCTACTTTGACAGCGGGAGCAAGGGCACGTGACTCCATCGTGACCGGTGGGGCTTCTCCACCGCAGAGCTGCTTAGAAAAGTCTTCTTCCTTAAGGAAAAGAGACGCTCTGGAGGAAATAGCCCTGCTTACTTTTCCTTTCGGTAAAATTTCAAACTTACCAAAAAGAATTATAAGCAGAGAACAAAGAACTTCTCTTCCTGAACTACTTGAGGTTATTGCTGACACGATGCCCCGTCACCCCTGCATATTTCCCTGTGTAATTCCCACAAACAAGGACATTCTCCTATATAACCACAAAACAACCATCAAAATCAAGAATTAACATTCTACCATCTAATCTTCAGATCCAATTCAAGTTTCACCAACTGTCCCAATGATGTCTTTTATAAATCCAATCCAGGATTATGCTTTCCATTTAGTTATCTTGTCTCTTTAGTCTTCTTAAATTTGCAAGTGTTCCTCATTTTTTTGCTTGACATTTATGATCTTGACATCTTAGAAGATTAAAGGCCACTTATTGAGGCCACTTACTTGTCCATCATATTGGGTTTGTCTGCTGTCCTCTCATAATTAGCTTCAGGTTATGCATTTTTCATAGGAATGCTATGGAAGTGATGCTGTTTGCATGGCAACCTATCAGATAATACAAGATTTTTATTCTATTAGTGTTGATGTTAATTTTAGACAATTGATTAAGCTAGATTTTTCCATTGTAAAATTACTCTTTCTCCCTTTGCATTTCTTCAGTATTTTGTGGGAAGGTACTTTGAGACTATGTTAATATCCTGTTTCTCATCAAAATTCTAACCACTGGTTTTTAGTATCCATTGATGTTTCCTGACTGAATTAATTATTACTATGATAGTTGCCAAATGCTGATTTTTCTAATTCAATCATTCCTTTAATGTTTATTAGTTAAGAAAAGTTCTATCTTCTCCCTATTTATTTATTCATTTATTTATATCAGTTTGGAGTTATAGATTTCTATTTTATTACGTTATTTGTAATCTGTTACTATCATTTATTTTGATGCTTAAATTGTCCCAAATTTGGCCAAAGAAATCTCTTTCAAGCTGGCTGTTATGTCCTTGTGACATGTCCCCACCATTCTTTTTTTTTTTTATAGAACAGGGGGAAAGAATGGTCTTTTCTTTTAAGATTGGCCCTGAGCTAACATCTATTGCCAATCTTTTTTTTCCCTTCTCCCCAAAGCCCCACAGCACATAGTTGTATATTCTAGTTTTAGGTCCTTCCGGTTCTGTTATGGGGGACACCGCCTCAGTGTGACCTGTTGAGCGGTGCTAGCTCTATGCCCAGGATCCAAACCGGTGAAACCCTCGACTGCTGGTGGAGCGCGTGAACCTAACCATTCGGCCATGGAGCCAGCCTCACCTTTCAGCCTGAGTGAATTACACATTTCTGAAGACTTTACACTCCTAGTTCATTTGGATTTTTAATCAAGTTTGTCCCATGGAGACACAAGTGATAGTGACGTGAGTGTTTGACTCACTGGGTTATCAGAATTTGGCTCCAAGTGTTTGGCTTCAAACATGAGAAAGTTACATGAAAGACGAGACTGTGCAATGGCATATGTATTTGCCATTCACACCTCTCTGCCTTTGACAAGCCGAGGCTAGAGATGATGCTCTTAAAAGAAGAAATATGTTTGCTCCTTTTTCTCAACCCCCACTATTTGCATTCAATCAGCTTCTACTAGTTTGAAGCAAAATGATCTTTTTGTCTGATTTCCTCCATTCTATAATAATAGAAACTGCAAGCATCAGCATAAAGTGTTTCTTTGGTCTGAGTTTGGTACAATGTTGACTCTCGGACAACAGAAATGATTTGGACTTACAGACAGAAGAAATATTATCCAGCCCTCTCGTTGCAAGTGATGGAAGTCCAATTCAAACCAGTTTAAACCAAAAAAAAAAAAAAAAATAGAGGGAATTTACATTCTAGAATCTACTTTCTAGTCAGAAACTTCAAGAGAAGTGCCAGCTTCAGGAACAACCGGATCCTGTAGTTCAAATTATCTCGTCAAGAATCTTCTTCCTTTCTCATCTCTCATCTCTGTTTTCCTCCATGTTGGCCTCAACCTCAGGCAGGCTCACCCCGATGGTGGCAGACATGGCCATCAGCAGCAGCTAGGGTCACCTTTGCCCTTAGAGGTAGTGAGCTCAATGAAAAGGGAGTGTCTCTTTCTGGGGCTTTCTGGGAATGACTTTGACTGGACTAACATGGGTCATGTACCTGTCCCTCGACCAGTGACTGTGCCCAGGGGATTGGGGTACCGGAATTGGCAGTGCCTTGAGCGTGTGCCACCCAGCCAACCTCTGAGGGGCAGGAGAAGGGATTGGAAAAGACAGCCACACCCAAATCACATAAAACAGGCCTCTTGTAAAAAAAAAAAAAAAAAAGGAAAGATAGGCCCTGTTAGAGCTGCAGGTAGGGAAAAAAGCCTTCTGGGCAAAGTGGAGCTGGCTCAGGTCTGTAAAGAGAAGGAGGGTGGATAAACTACAGGGGCGAAGTGCAGAGGAGCATCTGTGAAGCTGGAAGAGAAACAACCCTTGGAATCTAAGGGACTCAGGCCGTCCCAGGACTGGGGAATGCAGGCTCCTGAGAGGCCGAGGAGGGGCCGCAGCAAAGAGCCAGGATGGAGGCCAAGTCGCAGAGCTCATCTTGAAGTAATTATCATGCCACTAAAAATCTCATTTGTCTTGATATTTTTTTAATTACTGGCAAGAAAAGACAAATGTTTTTAAAGGCCTAAATAAAATGGTATTCCCTAAAGGAAATGTCTAAAGGGTTTTATTATGGCCTTCTTTTTTTTTTCATCCTGTGCAAGATGATGGAGAGTTGCTAATTGTTTTTATGGGAAAAGTTTAATAAATGTGAAGGATGTACTTCCATGAGTTCAAATATGGAAAGTTTGAAAATAGAAGAGTGACACAAGCAG